CTACAGGACGCCCGAGGCAGAGTTGCTCTGCCCCGGGCTTCCTGGAATCAGTGGCTGATCAGTTTCAGCAGCAGCTGACTTGGGGTTCTTAAGTTGATTCTGTATGTAAGTCAGAACTGGCGGTCAGTTTCAGCAGTGGCTGAATCTGGATGCTAGTTCCGACTTACATACAGATTCAACTTAAGAACAAACCTACAGTCCCTATCTTGTACGTAACCCGGGGACTGCCTGTACTATATTAATGAGACATATGTTTTATACTTGCGTGAATATAGCTTTCGTATCATAGAAGAGTCTCTGAGCCCTGTTAATGAGCTGGATTTTTTATTGTTTTTTCCCATATTCAACTAACAGTGCAGCTTTCACTTTGTCTTCCAAGTCAAAGAACAAACCTACAGTCCCTATCTTGTACGTAACCCGGGGACTGCCTGTACTATATTAATGAGACATATGTTTTATACTTGCGTGAATATAGCTTTCGTATCATAGAAGAGTCTCTGAGCCCTGTTAATGAGCTGGATTTTTTATTGTTTTTTCCCATATTCAACTAACAGTGCAGCTTTCACTTTGTCTTCCAAGTCAACCTAGGTTGATTGGCCTTCTGGTTCTGACTAGGGATGGAACGGTGTAGGGTTTAAATAGAAACAAAAAACAGGACTATGTAGCACTTTAAAGACTAACAAGATGGTTTATTAGGTGATGAGCTTTCATGGGCCAGACCCACTTCCTCAGATCAAATAGTGGAAGAAAATTGTCACAACCATATATACCAAAGGATACAATTAAAAAAATGAACACATATGAAAAGGACAAATCAAATTTCAGAACAGAAGGAGGATGGGGGGGGGAAGGTAAATATCTGTGAGCTAATGATATTAGAGGTATTAAATAGGTAACTGATGCTTCTCCATTATCTGAATTGTTGCACGTGCCTCCTGGTCTGGCTCCTGGGGAGCCGACTGCCACTCTTTGCTGCTGTCTCTGTATCAGTGCTGGGCGGCCGCTGGCTCCTTGGGAGCAGGGTGGCAGGCAGGATCCAATATTTGCCAGGAGTGGGCTTAAAAGCCAGCTCTTGGGGAGCTGACTGCTGCCCCATGTTGTTGCCTTTTATCAGAGGCAGCAGCATGGGTTAGCAGGCAGGAGCCCGTGCACGCTAGTTCCCAGGGAACTGTCTGTCGCCCCTTGTGTAACTGCAGAAATTTTCAGCAGTTACATGGGAAGCCAATTTACACTCATTTTAACGTCCGTAGTCCTAACCAATACTGAGATGAATTGAGACAATAGTGTGACTCAAATTATGACATTCCATATAGTGCTTGAAAGAATGGAAGGCAATAACAGCTTACTTCATTTGTGTTTACATATTACAGAAAGATAAGATGTGTAAGCATATTGGTTTTGGAGTGTGTGTTTTTGTACAGCACTGTGGCTTTACAGCAGTTCATGGATTTTATTCCTTTGATTAAATCCAGATTGAGATCAAATTCCTTGAACAGGAAAGCACTAGTGATTGTTTTTCTTTAATAATTGAAATATACTTATTTTTCCCTATTGTTTTAGCTGTAAAAGACCCCACAGCTGTAGAAAGAGCAAATTTGCTGAATATGGCTAAATTGAGTATCAAAGGACTGATTGAATCAGCTCTGAGCTTTGGCCGTACTCTGGATTCTGACTATCCACCTTTGCAACAGTTCTTTGTCGTTATGGAGCACTGCCTTAAACATGGTCTTAAAGGTACAGTAATTATTTTAATTGTGCATTTACTTTGCCAAATCATTCTGAAATTTTATTTCTAAACTGATGCATTATTCTCTTTGCACAACAGTTTGAATATGTATAGCAATCTATAAAAAGTCTGAGATATTGATAACCACAACAAACATTTTTACATGTACTTTTTTTGCCTTTGTAAGTCATCCCTGTGTTACAATATGGCTGTGTCTACACTGGCATGAATTTCCGGAACTGCTTAAAACGGAATACTATTCCATTTTCAGATTTTCCGGAAAAGGAGCGTCTACATTGGCAGGCTGCTTTTCCGGAAAAGCCGCTTTTCCAGAAAAGCGCCCGTGGCCAATGTAGACGCGCTTTTCCGGAAAAGAGCCCCGAGCGTCATTTTCGCGATTGGGGCTTTTTTCCGGAAAAGACTACTGGGCTGTCTACACTGGCCCTTTTCCGGAACAGTGTTCTGGAATAAGGACTTATGCCCGAGCGGGAGCAGAATAGTTTTTCCGGAATAGTGGCTGATTTTGTACAGTAGAGCATCGTTGCTTTTCTGGAAATTCAAGGGCCAGTGTAGACAGCTCGCAGCTTATTCTGGAAAAGCGGCTGATTTTCCGGAATAAGTGGCCCAGTGTAGACACAGCCCATATGTCTTACCAGTTATCAGGATCAAGTGTATGTTACTTACATTTTTATTTCATTTTGCTCGTACTGTTACATTGACATGCTTATGCTACAGCAGATCTGTTTTAAAAATGAAAACAGAATTGTTACTTTATAAGATTTTTTCTTTTTAGAAATTCCCAAACCATTGTAATTTATTTTACAGATAAATTAAAGCTTGTTATATTAATATTTATGTTCACTATACAGTCATTTAAAACAGTTTATATAGGTAATTTCTAATCTGGATATGCTGTTGTTCACTCAGATTTTCAACTAAATTATTATATTTTCCTTTTCTTAGTAAGAAAATCTTTTCTAAGTTACAATAAAACAATCTGGGGCCCACTGGAACTTGTGGAGAAGTTGTACCCAGAAGCTGAGGAGATAGCAGCTAGTGTCAGAGATTTACCTGGCCTCAAGTGAGTAGTGCTGGTAAAAGCAGAATATTTGCTGCATTGAAGATATGTAGGGCCTGATTCAGTGCCCATTAGAGTCAACAGAAAGGCTTGGGCCCTTAGAGAGCAAAATATATTGTGGCAGAAAGTAGTATTTGGATATTGAGATACCTGTTTGAGAATATTTAGAAGAATCATTTTTCTCACATGGAAGAAGCGAAATACTTTAAAAATAGGATTGCGAGCTGTCCGGTATTCGCCTGAACAGTCTGGTATTTTCTCCCCATCCGGTAAAAAAATTCAGAAAATACTGGACACCTAAAATGTATTTTCTGATTTTTTTTCCCAGCCAGGGGTGAAAATACTGGACTATCTAGGTCAATACCGGACACCTGGCAACCCTAAGCAACCCCCCTCCCCAATACTTTAAAAATAGGATTGCGAGCTGTCCGGTATTCGCCTGAACAGTCTGGTATTTTCTCCCCATCCGGTAAAAAAATTCAGAAAATACTGGACACCTAAAATGTATTTTCTGATTTTTTTTCCCAGCCAGGGGTGAAAATACTGGACTATCTAGGTCAATACCGGACACCTGGCAACCCTAAGCAACCCCCCTCCCCCCCCCCTGTCTGGCAGGAGCGGGGGAGTGGGCAGTGCGGGGCCATTTAAAGGCACAGCCCCCCTCCACCATTTTGCTCCCCCCCCCCCCCCCCTTTTTTTTTCCCAACAGAATTTTTTCCTTGGTGTTTTTTTTGAGGGGGGGGGGGTGTTCGCTATTTTTGGTTAAACCATCTGGCAACCCTATTTAAAAATGAAAAGCCCTTTATTATGTTGGTAATTACTGTATGCCTCAATTGTTCTAATTTTCCAAATGTTGCACAAAAACAGTATAACAAAGACTGTCTTGTAGGTTCATTAGTGTGTAGTAATCTGCCTGCCTTTCTATTTCTATAAAGTATTTGATTCCAGCCAGTGTTGCTAGTGTCTAATTGCGGGGGGTGGAAATAAGGTGCCTGAGGCAGTCTTGTAAATGGTTTCTTCTTTTTGGTGTGTTGGTGTCTTTTGGAATCCACAAGTTATTCTGATTTTTTTCCCAGCCAGGGGTGAAAATACTGGACTATCTAAAATACCGGACACCTGGCAAACCCTTCTTGTTGGTGTCTTTTGGAATCCACAAGTTTACTTTTTTACTGCTACCCTTATTTCAAGTACATTATGCACACATGGCATAGAATCATAGAGCTGGAAGTCCAGCCTCCTGCCCAAAGCAGGACCAATCCCAACTAAATCAACCCAGCCAGAGCTTTGTCAAGACGAGACTTAAAAACCTCTAGGGATGGAGATTCCACCAACTCCCTAGGTAACCCATTCCAGTGCTTCACCACCCTCCTAGTGAAATAGTTTTCCCTAATATCCAATCTAGACCTCCCCCACTGTGACTTGAGGATACAAGTCTAATCATCATATTGTGGCAAACAGAACAGTCACTAGACCTGTGACGAAATTTATTTTGCTCCATAGGTTAGGAAATGTATAGCTTCAAATAGAATTTCCAAGTCAGTCATATGTGCATTCTCTTTGCATTTTGTTCAATATTTGGCAAATATGTTTGTTAGTAAAACTGTCTTGAAAAGAGAGTAGAGCTAAAGGTACAGTTGTGCGAACTTTACAAGACTCTGTGTGGATCACAAGAGTTGGGCTTCCCTGGTAGTTTAATCGTTGTGCGAACTTTACAAGACTCACAAGAGTTGGGCTTCCCTGGTAGTTTAATACTGGATAGCCACATGCTTCTTTCTCAAATCCTCTTGACTTTTTGAGGATTTGAAAGTGAGGCCAAAAAGATGGGGATGAAAGGTGACAATCGTACTGATGCCCTAACCTTTGGAGCCTCCCCCAAACTTCTGTAACAGGGATGAAATGGAGATCCCCCACTCCCACCCCCCGCTCCCAGCAAACTTGATGTACCTTGGCTCCAAACTTCTCTTGATGAATCTGTTTGCAAGATAGTCTCAATTCTTTCTAAATAAAAACAATTCTTTTTGAACTTCTACTGAAAATATTTTTAAAAGGACATTATCCGAGTAAGGATTATCCATTTTTCTTCCCTGTATTGGTATTAATACCTTAACCAGTACAAAAGAAATAACATTTTACAAATGTATTTACCATTTATATTGTGTTACTTTCTACACAGTGTTTTGCTTGAACAATTAAAATAGAGTATTTTTCAGTCTCGGCTTCTCAGGCAGTCACATAGTACTGCAATGTCAGAAAATGTTGGCATCCAAACAAAAATATTTTCCTTCAAATATTTTCAAATATAAATTCATGAAATCATTTCTAGTTACAAGGTAGATAAACTCAATAATGTAAGTTTTGTTTTAAATTAGATTTTTTTATTTAAATATATTTTTCTTTTGGAAAAATGTTTACAATTACATTTAAAATTATGACAACTTATTTTAAAGTCTACAGTTACTGTAATCTATTAAAATAGTTTATATTAAGAAAATTGCATCAATGAATCCTCAGGTTTTATTGACTTAAAAAGGAGTGGTCCATTTTTAAGTATAAACAGAATCAGAAGGAGAACATCTTCAACTTTGAGGTTAATTCAAGCTTTATCACTATATCACAATGTTGTATACTTCATAAAGCATTATGTATTATTTTTGGCCTTTACAATGGAGTGAATGCTGATATTTACACATTTCCAAGTATAAATACTTTCAGCTTCTGTTATGTGGAAAAGCTTTTGCCTTAATTACTTGTGGGTTTAGTTTTAGAGAGCAGGAGCAGAAAAAAATGTTTTTTTCATTCAAACAAACTCATTCAAAATTGAGAAATGGACTGGGAGTTAAAAGCAAGAAAGCTTGTTCTTTGTCCTCCAATCTATGGAGACGGGTTGGAACAGTTTGGGAGAAGATGAATGTAATGAGTTGAGTTAGAGAGATCCCTTAGGGACTGTCGTACCACTGAGCTTGCCTGCCTGTCCCTTGGGACACTCCTTTACTGGGTCAGACACTGTGGTTTCCCCTAGCAAAGATACAGAATTGTGGTAACAGCCCCCCAGCAGAGTAATGTAATTGCTAATAACAGCTCTGGGTGGGCTCAGCTACTGGGACTTGACAGCACCCAGAAGCACTTCTCAAAATAGGACCGAAACTCCAAATTCTTCTTATTGTGTATAAAAGATTACCCTTAAGCTACCCTGGATGGAGCAGATACATCTTCCCACCCATTCCACTAATACCACAAATCTAGCGAAAAATGTGTTATGACATGGCTTTTGTGTGTAAGCTACCCTGGATGGAGCAGATGCATCTTCCCACCCATTCCACTAATATCACAAATCTAGCGTAAAATGTGTTATGACATGGCTTTTGTGTTATTGCTCCCTTTGTTTAATAAATCAGGTACTATAAATTAGCATATGTAACCCTCACTTGTGTATAACCCGCACCCGTTCATAACCCACAGTTTTTCCTGAATGAGTAAAAAAAGTTGTAAGTAACCCGCGGACGTGTATAACCCATGGGAGTTGTAAGTAACCCGTGGACGTGTATAACCCATGGGTTATATATGTTACTTTAAGGTAATTGCACATACCTGCTGCCAGCAGGGGGAACGTAGAGCGCAGCACAGGCGAGCTGGCTGGCCTATAGGAGGGGGCTGCACTCGCACCCAGGCTCCACGCAGCTGCAGCCAGGTGCAACCCACTCTCCTCTGGGCGGGGGGAACGGAGAGCTCAGCGCCGTGCAGGCGAGCTGGCCAGCAGCCTTGTGGGAAGGAAGCCGCACTCGTGCCCAGGCTCCGCGCAGCTGCAGCCAGCTGCAACCCATCCTCCTCTGGGTGCACCATTTTCTAACATAAAAATGTAACTCTTAAGAATGACTAAATGTATGGTAAGCTGTATAATTGCTTAAATGTGAGGAGGGGGGGGAGTGAGGTTTGTAAAAATGTGTATAACCCGCAGGTTATATATGCTAAAAGATGGTAGTTTGAAATGACACATATTTAGATAAACTTTTTGTCCTTGGATATTCTGGACCATTGAAGGTAGATTTATTTAACTAATAAACTGTAAAATGCTTTTGTACATTTTTAATAGAATTAAAATGATCATCTTGTAAATAAATGTCATTCACCATTTTCTAACATAAAAACGTAACTCTTAAGAATGACTAAAAGTATGGTAAGCTGTATAATTGCTTAAATATATATGTAAATATAGTATATTCTTTCTTAACTTAAAAAAGGGCAAATGTAATATAAAGGCTGTATTTGGTTGCAAATAAACATCTTTTAATAGTTAAACGAACCAATAAGAATATTAGGGGTTTTTGTAGAGAAATGGATAATTTGTATCTTGACTTAGTGTTATTCATATATCATAAAATGCCTTTCAGAATGGGAATTTCTGTTTTGATAAACTGATTCATGAAGGTAACAAGACTAATTGATGTGCAGCCATATCCTGACCAAATTTTTTTCTCTTCAGAACACCATTGGGCCGTGCCCGGGCATGGTTACGACTGGCGTTAATGCAAAAAAAAATGGCTGATTATCTACGCTGTTTAATCATTCAAAAAGATCTCCTCAGGTGAGTGATTTTGTTGAAATTTGATCTTTGAAAGTTATGTAGGAAATCAAATCTAGTGTTATGTTTGGCATATATTCTAAAATGTAATTCAATTTTACCTTCTTCTTTGTGATACTACAATTGAAATATATGTCTGTATCGTGCCTTCCTCTTCCTCATGGTAAAAATGATTATCCTGTGTGAGAATTATATAAGCTACAAAAAGTCTTAAGACGTCTCTGTTACCTGAAAATTGAATACTTAACAAATACTTAATTTCATAGATCCACATGATTAGGACTATGGCCTCCAGTTTAGACCAGTCTCTAGGAGGACTCTCTACTGTGTTCCAGACCTGCTAGAGGTCTCGCTCTTCCTCCAGGTCAGCCATGTGGTTTCACCGTCTCTT